AATATCCTTAATGCGAGAAGATTTGAGATTTCACCTTCCAAAGCACCGATAGTTGACTCTATCACTAAAAAAAAAACATTATTCTGGATGAATGAGAATGAAAAACAACACTCTGCATGTAATTGGAAGCACCTATTGATATTATTTCATTTGTAATACTCAAGTACATAGTGTTTTTTTTCAGAACTGGTTGTCATTTCACACCTTTTAATCAACATAAATGTAGGCAGAACCATCAATGATGCCACTTCTCTCTGATAGCTGTCTTGGGCAAACCTGGGTCCCAGACAGCCAGGCACTCTCTTGTCTGTGCTTTAAGATCTACCTCATGCACAAAATCGAGTCACTTCAATTTGCATATGTGTATTTCTGGAGGCCSTCCTCATTTCAGGAGTTGCAGAACTTCTGTCACAAGAAGTCAGTTCTTAGATGTCAAATGACATGAATCCTCAARGGTTTAGTACCTGAGAAGTAAGGAAATAATTATCCCCATAAGTGAAAAATAAAAAAAGCRATAAAAGCACTGCAAGAAGAAAAATTTTAAAAAGGCAACTGAAAATTTGTAAATGAGTTTTAAAAAGCAGGATTAGAAATAGGTAAATAACACAAATATCTGTTGAAAGAAACAAGGAAAAAACTTAGCAATTACCAAGGTTGTAGCCTTGAGGCTGATAGAAAATGGAAAGCCTCCTAAGAATAAAGAAAGAAATCAGGTCCCTAAAAAAAATAATGCGATGRAAGTCTTTGGTGAGGAAGTGTTTGGAAATGTTGGCTTTGAGAAGAAATTGTATGTCCAGTATTTAGACGCCTATCATCTGTCACTGCRGGTAAAATAATCAGATCTCACAATTGATGTTAAAACTCAAAAAATAACTGGGAACAGGTGTTAGTGACAGACTTAGTGCAGACTCTGATGTCTGAGAATAAACCTTCTTTTTTCATCTTTTTTACTTGATATCACCACGGACTTTTTCTTAGGGAAGTGATATAAAAGGTGACCTGATACCACAACTTCACATGACACAAGAGCATTGTGTTAGACTTAAAAAGAAAATCACAGACCTTGAACTGATGGGTTAACCAGCATTCAAGCAATGACGGGGAAAACCCTTCAGTAGCACAAAAGCTGCTAAAGATCCTACTGTTAAAATGGTTGTTTGCAGGGAAAGGGAGTAATCAGCAATTCTTACTGCAAAAAAATGTTCAAAGACAGAGTGATATAGGGCATTAATCAACTCCTGCATTGCTGTAGTATCATTAAATCCAGGGTGGCTGTTCAGGAAAAATAGTGAGTGGCCCAGAGGGAAGCTGCATTTCCAACCTTAATTGAGATTTAATGATGAAAACTCTTCTGCTTAAAATCAGGCAATAATTTTTCAGCTGAAATGTTGGGGTTTTTCTTTCTTTCTATACYAGGTATAAATAAAATACATTAATACTAATGCACAGGTTTAGTAGAGTTGTTAAAATTATTCAGAAAAGAAGATAGAAATATTTTGGAGTTATTGGAAAAAAAAATCCCCCTAAAGAAGTGACCCCTGGCATTTGAAAGAATCAGCCAACTGAAAAATGTTTATCCAGAGTTTTTTGGCAATGGAAAAGGGAACATTGCTATGGGACCCATCAACATGGAGCAGTCACAGATCACAGAATATTCAGAGTTGACAGGGATCCCCAAGGATCATCAAGTCCAACTCTTAAACSGTCTGTCCTGGGATCAAACCCATAATCCTGGTGTTATTTGCACTGTGCTCTAACAAACTGAGGTAATCTCAGCCAAGAGCCTTAAAAAGTAGGACTTGATACAGGAGCAGATATGGACTTGTTCCACCTGTCTGGAATTTTAAAGAATAAAAATGTTTAGAAAATAAGGGTTGTTTTCAATAAGTAAGGTGCATTAGAAATCTTTTATCAAAGGTGGTCTGATGATGCTWAATTGAGAGGAGCTGTTGTCTCCCTGGAAGGCAGGAAGGCCCTATAGAGAGACCTGGATTAATTAGAGAGATGGGCAATCACCTGCCAGATGAAGTTCAGTAAGTGCTGGATTCTGCACCTGGAGCAACCCTGAATGTATGGACAGACTGGGAAATGAGAGGCGGGAGAGCAGAGCCATGGAAAGGGACCTGGGGGTTCTGATCCATGGCAAGTTGAACATGAACCAGCAGTGCCCTGGCAGCCAGGAGGGCCACCCGTGTCCTGGGGGGATCAGGCACAGCATMCAAGGRAGGGGATTGTCYTGCCCTGCTCTGTACTCGGGTGGCCTCAGCTCAGTGCTGGGGRCAGCTTTGGGTGCCACAATAGCAGAGAGATACGAAATTATTGGAGAGTGCCCAAAGAAGGGCAAGACAGGTGGTGAAGGACCTTGAGGGGAAGCTGTGTGAGGAGCGGCTGAGGTCACTTGGTTTGTTTAGCCTGGAGGACACTGAGGGGAGACCTCATTGTGGTCTACAACTTCCTCATGAGGGGAAGAGGAAGGGCAAACATTGATCTCTTTTCTGTGATGACCAGTGACAGGACCCAAGGGAATGGCTTGAAGTTGTAACTGGGGAAGTTTAGKTTGGGCAGAAAAAGGTTCTTCACCCAGATTGTTAGCAAGCACTAGGAGAGGCTCCCCAGAGAAATGGCCACAGCACCAGCCTGACAGAGTTCAAGAAGCTTTTGGACAATGCTCTCAGGCCCATGGTGTGATTCACAAGGATGTCCTGTGCAGGGCCAGGACTTTGGTTCTTGTGGTTTCCTTCCACCACAGGATATTTTATGATTCCTTTATTTATTTATTCATTTATTGATTTTTGTCTTTGGAGATAAAAACTCAGGAGAACAATTGTAACTTAGAAAAACCAACAACAGTGAGATATTACATATTCTTGCTTTGTGAAGTGACCATCTGTTCCCAGAATCAAATTTTTTCTTCATAATGTAGTAAAAGAAAAAAAATTATGGCCAGTAATGTGCATTAAACCCTGTAATAACACACAGTAATTTTTATAAGTTTAAGTTTTTCTGCTAAAGTTATGTTGACTTCTGTCTTCTAAAACATCTTCTAAGTTCTTCTATCCATTTGTCACTACAGCTATATCAGCCCTACCTGTCCAAATACAGTATTTTTCATGTTAGAAATAGATTCTTCACAAAATATGGAAATTGCTCTGTGTGTACTATCATAATCTGGTTCGATTGAACACAGATAGTGGGCATTACAAAATTACTGCTAACAGTRAGTCTGTGAAATCATGTCCTGCTTTCTCTGGTGAAGTTTTGTTCARCAGTCTGGGAGGAGCTGAGCAAAAGCTGAGTAGTAAGGAAAGTAGATTTGCAGAACACATTAGGTGCTTGATTGTATAACCTGCTTCCCACTTAATGTCTGCCCCAGCGAATTTAAAATACATCTCCAGCCATCAGACTGCACTGGTTTCACATGCCAAGTAGATTTTATGTATCTGTAGGGACCACATTATTTTTTGCAGATAGGGTACAAAAAGCTCTGAAAKCCATTATTCTGTGCTGGAATCTATGTAGTACCAATTACGTTAAAGAGATCAAACTAATTTTTAATGACTCTAAGAAATGYCATTTGCCTTCATGAAATGCACACTTCTTAGGACCTCAAAGCTGTACTTACTCAGTTCTAAACACAGCTAAATTATACTTCAAGGAAGTGATTCATTATAGTCATTTTTATTCAGAGACTCATTACTTCTGGTATCTGAGTAACTTTCTTGTTGATAAATTGACACAGTTTTCAATTTTTTCCCCCCACTTTGCTTCTTATCTTTAAAGATCAGCAACAACTAATCATAGCAACTATGGATTTTGTACGCACATCATTTCCTATTAAAGGAAATGCAGTGTATTACACGTGAGTCACTACAAAATGAAAAGTTTTCATTATCTGTTCTTTTGAATAAAATTGATATTCATGGTACTGTGCTGCTGCAAATTACCATCAAACCATCAATTACAGTGTTGACTAATAGTTTTTTTTTTATAACTTTGCCCCTCAACAGGAAAGCAAGCAGATTTATAACCAAGCCTCTCATCTGTATATCAGTGCTCAGTGTCCCCGATCAGGACTCACACAGCATTTTGAAGACCCCCAAGCACATCCTTCAGGTCAAGTACATGATGCTTATTTCATGAARGGCACATTGCGTGCGGATGTCCCACCACTTGGTACCCACTGTGCCCTGGCAGCCAGGAGGGCCACCCGTGTCCTGGGGGCAYCAGGCACAGCATCACCAGCCRGGCAAGGGAGGGGATTGTCCTGCTCTGCTCTGCACTGGGGCAGCCTCACCTCAGTGCTGGGGGCAGCTTTGGGTGCCACAGTAGGAGAAGGATACAAAGCWGTTGGAGAGCATCCAGAGATGGACTCTGAAGAAGGGAAAGGGCCTAGAGGAAAAGCCAAATRAGGAGTGCCTCATTGCTTCTGCCAGGACCTGACATGCCCCAGAGCCAGAGGAGAAACATCCTCTGAGCTTTAAGATCACAGATACAGCACCCCAGCTCTCCTCCTTTCCCATGGTAGCATCCTTGCTCTGCCTTGCCCAGGCTCCTGGAGCCCCATGACAGAGGATGCCAGTATGGTAGACTCCTTTTTCCAATGCTCCTCGGAGTCTGAGCAAACCTGTCAAGTGAGGATAATCTCTGCTCTTCTCCTAAAGGATCTCTCCTACCCTGGGATGCTTCCCACTGCTGGGGGTGAGGAGATGCTTGGGGTAGGCTGTCCTTTGTGGATGAGAGCAGCAGAAGCTGCTCTATCATTCAGTGTGACCACTGACCACTGACCACTGACCATTGACCACCATACATACCCTGGACATGTGCTGCTAGAGGCAGGCATTGGCATGTATTTAAATAAAACATTATATAAACCTCAGTTATTAAAACAATCTGAGGTAATAGTAGAGGGGATGACTGATGTTTGTTATCACACAACAAAAACAAAAATTACAGAATTATCATAATGGTAGATTTTTATCATTATAAAAATATATATTTTTATCATTATAAAACATGATAATTTGTCTGAAGCACAATCACTGCTTTTGGAAAACTCYGCTTTAATTAACTGACAGATACCAGCAGATATCTACAGCACAGTAGAAAAGGGTGAACTCAGACACAGAAGGTGGATGGTGATCRCTCCTTCTGTGAGCTTGTTCAGACGTCAGAGGTTCAATTATGCTGACAGAGGTACTTGCTGAGAGTCTCAGCTGATCTCACCTGGCTTCCCCCAGTCCAAAGCCCCTTCCAGTGGTGAGAAGTCACACGAGGTGTGTGGCTCAGCAGGAGTTGGATRCATGCAGTTCCATGACCTACAGCTGTCACCTACTTCAAGCCAAACCAGGCATCTCCTGATATTGGAAGTATCTGAATGTGGGTTTTGTAGATTCAAAAAAATCCTTAGTATGGAGCTGCACGTGTGGGGATGAAATCAAGCCCTAACCGCTCTGAAAAGATTTCACAAGCTTTTGAATTAGGAAGTCTATATTTAAAAGAGAAAAATATTCTTTTGGTGAGTTTTTTGGGCCTAAGGAATACACCAAGCACATAGAACAACAAGCAGGTTCAAAGCACTTCGTTGTCATTGCTGTGAGCAYACGAAGGCACGACAAAACCAGCAATACCTCGAAGTAGCTGTTGGTTTTAATCCTACTCAAATTCAGGTGTTGTAGTAAACTGATCATTAAACTGGGCATCTTTTGAAGGTGGTCCAAACATAGACCCAAGTTTCTGGTTTCTTTTAAAAATATTTTTGTTTGGAAATCTGGCCATTTTGCAAGGCAAATGAAGTTGATAACACACTTCTTACTCTGCCATAACTGAATTTGAGTTACAATAAATTCTCCTTCATTCTGCCAGGTAAAACAACTAATTGGAAGCTAAAAATGAAGTGTCCCAAATTAAGTGACAACCAAGCAGGGTCTCTAACTGTTTAATCAGTAGAGCTCCAGAYTCACTTTTGGGAATGTGTAGTCAATTTTTTATTGTACTAAAAGTCCTTTGACTTCATATTGCTGCAAGCTCCTGGGTTGAGCTGAAGCTTTGGGAAGAAGCAACATTACTATCATAACTGGCGAAAAAAGACTCCCACGAAAGTACATAGGGCTCCATTAAGTAAAGGAGGTGACGAAAAATAGAAAAGACCAGCTTAGAAACAGGAAGATCCTCAAAATAAGAGGCAGAAAAAAAGTAAAACTGGGAAGCTTCACAGAGCCATCCCTGCGTAATAAAGCCCATTCTTAATGCTGCTGACACCCACATTTATCATCTCGTTACATCCAAACATGTAGCTATTTTTGGAAGGAGATTGTTTTTGGCTGATCCATTTGTCACTACAGCTATATCAGCCCTACCTGTCCGAATACAGTATTTTTCATGTTAGAAATAGATTCTTCACAAAACATGGAAATTGCTCTATGTGTACTATCATAATCTGGTTCGATTGAACACAGATAATGGGCATTACAAAAATACAAAACMTGCTCATTCTCAGCTTATCTGAGCTGTCAATCTCTGTAGGCAGTGGATGGCACAATTTTAGCTGAGGATACAGTGGTAATGGTGTTTAGGTGATCTAATCTAAAATGAAGAATGAACTGGACTCAGTCTTGGGGGATTTGTCCCAGTGGTTGTGGCTTGCATTTATTCAAAACCAGCTTAATTGAGAAACATGATCCATGAGAGGGTGCTCCCATCTCTTGGCTGATTTGGACAGTTGTCCTTAACATCATATTAAGGAAAAATGGAGCAGGAGGAAAACTTCTGACAGGTGTCAGAAAAAGTCTGACATATTTGAATGCTTTACGGAGGACACACCAAAGTCAAATAGATTTTGGAGCCTATATTGCCTCAGATGCAAAAGGAAGATTATTTGGAAAAGGCCAAGCTGGTTCATCATAACTCAAGGGTACAATTAGGAGACCCCTTCATTGAAAAATCATCAGTGCTGCTGGCAACTTTAAAACAACTGTCACAAAAACTGGAGCACAACTTAATTCTGAATAATAAGATCACGTAAGTAGATCCCACATGTGCTCATGTTTCTTGTAGAATTCATTAATTGCCATGCATAATTGGTTATGGATTACCAGTGTGTTAACTACTAATTCCTATACAACTTACAATTACTACTTAYTACTGTTGTTTTCCCTGGGTATTAGGAGGATCACCGAATTAGACAGGCACCCTGTCCCACACCTTGGATCCTACTAAACAGTTGCTGTTCGGTCATCAGCCACCATCAGACTGTCAAAGCAGGTGAGCAGGAATGGTGYTCTTAGAGAGGCGATTTGCCCAGTGTCACTGCAAAGCAGGGGGCAGCCTGCCAGAGAGGTTGGAGAGGGTTCTGGTGCAAAGCTAGTGACCATTTCAGTGGAGTGGACCATTTCAATGCTGACATTTCAGTGGACCATTTCAATGCTGACATTCTGATGCAGGATGGAAACTGTATGCAGACAGCAATATTTTCACATGGTGCACTGAGCAAAGGCTGTGGTTTCCTATTTGTTGTGATCACTTGGGGTAATAATGGGTCTGGGAGGTGTGCTCTGAGCCAAGACCTTCTCAAGATCTGTCTCACTGAATAATCAGCATAATTGGAGTCATCCACTGTGTCAGAGCCCTCTCACTGGTCAGTAGGGAGAAACAGTGCCTGGGAACAGCAGGTATCCAAAATGGATCAGATGGCTCGCACTAAAACCCTGTTTGTTTGGTTCTGCTGATCAGGGGGCCCAGAACTGTCAGCTGAGTTGCAGGCATCCCAGCTTCTCCATGTGCTCTGGGCATAATACTTGATTAAACCACAGAGATGTTTCAAATTCATGCAGCAGTTGMTAAACAAGTTTCTGTACAATCAGATATAATGATTTATTTCCAATTTCTATTATACAATCACTTTAGAGATTTTTTTTAGAGAAAATTATTTGATTGAGATTTTTTGGAACATACTGTCCATACATGCCATACATGAGAGTACTGAAATCTTTGAAAAGGGAGGGGAAATGCTGCCCATCCTGTGACTGGTATAGCATCTACAGGAATGGAGGGTTAACACATTTTTCTGAAAAGAGAAACGTAAAGAAAGGGTATTGCTCACACGTAGAAAAAGAGAACTTACGTAAATTCAAAGTGATGTTCTATTTTTGTCACCRTTAATTAAATGTTATCTTGCGTGCCTCATGCTTACAAATCACTTTAGCTATTGTCAGATCTCAAGTAGCTTCCCTTCATTTCTTCTTCCTCAATGAAACCAATTTGAAAGTCTCTTTCAGCAATTTGCTTTTAATTGGAAAGCACTCCCAAATGCAAGATTGAACAATATGGTCACTGATGGGCATTGATACTGATAAAGCATTATTTATCAAGCCTGTGTTTAGAAGCGAACATCTGACAGGAATCTATAGTGTGGTTTGTTTTCACTCTTTTGCATTTTTCCCCAAGACTGGATAAGCCTCAGGAGCAGTGAAGGTAAGCAAGCACCACGACTGCCTGGAAGAACACAGATCCCAAACTACCCAAGGGGATGTGCTAGGAGCCTACACAGCCTACACCAGCAGACAAAGCTAGCAGGTGAGTTGTGCTCATATCATCATYATCATTATCATTGTCACCATCATCACCTTCCTCATCATCATCATCCCCTCMGGATGGTGGAGACAGGGAGAAGTGAGGGTTTAAAGCTGTTTACTTTTCCTTTAAAAATAAAAGGAGCCAGGTAAAGAGAAGGTTTTGTCTGCTCTGTTGAGATGTCAGAGGATGTTAGTGACAGAGGCTGGAGTCACATTGCTCATGTACTCCTCCTTCCTCCTCCTGGCTTCTCCAGTGTGTCTGACCTTCCGCTGTGCCRTTCACATGGAGAATCTTTCACATCAGTCCCTGCCAAGAAAGTGAGACAGTGCAGCTTAGCAAAGGACTCGGTGAGCCAATGCAATCTGGGGCCAAGCGTGAGTTAACTGAGGCTGGGAGAAGGTGGAAAAATGATCCCCACTTTCTGGCAGTTACAGGTTGCTGGAACAGCCTGAGCCTTCCCAGTTTGTTGGGAAACAATGGGGAACAGCAGCTAACTAAGGATCTGATAGTGTTTTGGAACACACCTTTGCTTTTCAGGGACAACTCATTACACAGAAGATTGCAAATGGAACATGTTAAAGGAGACAATTTCCCTTTGCAACCTTTAGAGCACACTCTGGGGCCTAGCCACCCACCTCTTTTATTTTCTTCAGTATTATTACCTAGGAAAAAGACTCAGAATCAACATCCCTCTCATCCTCTATTTATGCAARCTGCAATAAATACCATAAGGCAAATAGCTCCCCTGAGAAATGGCATACTAAACTCTCTCCTGATCTTGCACGCCTTTAGCAAGAACTATAAAGTGCCACAATCCTAGCTGAGCATTGGAAATATGTCTCTTATTCTAGTTAACRTTATTTCTAGCTTAATAGCACTCTTGAACAGATTCTCTGGCCTTCTTAAAGAAATGCATTATAATGATTCTTTTCCACTTTTTTGGGGGACTGACATGGAGCACTTTTACCCCCAGTAATATACTGCTCAGTGGCAATTCTCCTTACACAGATGGTAAAGAAAGCCACTTGGTCAGGTTTCATTAGAAATTCAAGCAGCCCTTCCACTTGTCTTTTCCAAACTGCCCTGGTGCTCGTGTAGGTCCTGCCTTGCCTGCAGTGACCATTGTCACAGGAGTAGAAATGCTCAGCTCCTCACGGACAGACGCACTCAGCACCCAGTGAAAGGTTGCTCTGACTCAGCTGTGATTACTCACTCCTCTTTTAGAGGATTAGTCTCACCTTTGGTTTGCCACAGAGTTTTCCCACTGCCACTTACATAAACCATTTTTTTATCCCACTGATATTTGTGTTTTCAACATTGTTTATTAAATAACAAAAAATAAATTGGTGTTTAATAGGGATCCTGGCAGGCRTCCACAATTCCCCACCCTTCTTCCCTCCATACTGGCTTAAAGAGAATCATCTCAGGAATACATAGAAAGATCATYTTTTAGCTGTAATATTAGGTTTTTCAGTTTACTTTCTTTTACTGATACTAGAATAAAGTGCGAAGAGATAATACTTTAATATGAGTGTAGTCCAGTGGTACCAGACTTTAACTGCAAAGATGCTTCAAGTGAATAATATAGAATTATTCAAGCCCCAACCTGAGTTTGCATGCATCAAATAAGAGAATTGCAAGCTGAGAAAATCTATGGGTCAAAACTGTATGCTGAAATACAGCTACTTTGTGGAGAGCAAAACACAGAGAAGCAATCTCCCCTTTTTATTCAATTCAGTTAAGTTCATGAAGCAGGAGGACATGTTAATGGAACAGCACAGATTTGTTATGCTGGATGCTGGCTCTTGATATTCACTGAAAATATTTATATCATTTGATCAGAGGGTGCCAGCCACCAAATGGGGCTGAYGAACCATCAGTCTGGGCAAGAATTGTTCTCGACAACAAGCCTTGTTCTGCCAGATCTCTTCAGGACAAGACCTGGGCATGTTTCAGAGAACCGTTTCTTCCAGGCATCCTGCACATAAATAGCTTACTCTGCCAAAAATCAGACACCAATAGGATTGGTACCCTCAGATGTCCCTCAGACACAAGGGACACAGAGCTGCAAAACCACATTATGAYTCCAGGTCAAACTAATATTTCCAGTAGTAAAATGGACGATAAACATGTGTCTGGAAGATGTCATCCAGCTGAGGTCAACAAGAGGTGCTACCTCCACGCTGTCCCACCTCTGCTATTCCTTTTACAGTAGCCTTGACTACAATGCTGCAGCAGCTGATGTCACATGCTGGGGGCATATGTGTCAAATGTTCTGCAGGGTACCTGGTATGCTCCGGAGAGATGACTCCAAGACCAGGAGACCCTGGGGTGGCCTCAGTGACAGTACGGAACTTTCCAGAACTGACCTCTGTGTTCACCAAGATGCTGCCAGCTCCTGTAGTGACAGCTGTGTTCWCAGTGGGATGGGAGATCTGAGTGTCCTCCCCCATCTCGATTTTTTTCCATTATCACATTAGCTGGCTTTCTTCTTCTAGGCATGCCCAAGTCTGTGTCTTTTGCCAGTGAGCTGAGTCTTTGACACAAAAATTAATAAGATGGGTGACCTTAAAAGTTCTGTATGACCTTGTGAGACCAGAGAAAGTCAGAGAAACAGGCGTAAGTGTTTAACACYGGAATTTGGCTTGCAATGAAGCTGAGAATAAGAGCCCCATTACCAGAAATGAAACTGTGGTTTCTGTATTGGCTGTTGCTTACTCTCATGGTCTCTGCATTTTTGTCTTGTCTAAGGCTTCACAGCCAAAAGGATGCATCAGCTGCCCCCCTCGTCTTTCCTTTTCCTCCAGAGACTGTTCCTTGCTAAATATCTCAACTGATGAATAAATATTACTGTTAATTAAATGAAACTGATTCTTGACATTTTGGATGCCTTTTTCTGCRTTGTCAGAATAGGAATGGGAATGAAAATTGGTTTGTGTGCTTTGTAAGAAAGTTGTTCATTAACAGCAATTGTTCTCAAATTACAAATCTGGTAAAGGTCTCTACTCCACCCCCTAAATATTATTCAGCTTTCAAAGGAGGAGATCAGGTTATTTATCTTACTGAAAGACTTGATTATGTCTTGTCCATTACATGGCAAAGACCAAGACTGGGGCACAGGAAAAGAAAGAACAAACAGCAGCACATTACTGCTAGTCCTTTGTGATTACAGCTATGACCAAAGTRGTTTTTGTACTAGCTGTGAATATGTTTTTACTTCAAGGAGCAAGAAAATCGCAGATTGGTAKCTGAACACTCCATATTTTTTTCTGAGTGCTTGTGAGTCATGGAAATAACTGTTTTCTTATTTGGGGTGCATGAGCTCCATGCAATGAGCACGGATAAACAATTAAGAACATTTAAAACTTATGTTTACTTCCAACCACCCCTCAGTGCGTTTCTTAACAAATGTGGTTAAAAGGCACATTCATGACATTTTGATGTTTAAAAGAAACAAATACTTCTTGTGCTCAGGAGAAGGAAGGGGGTTGGTATTCAGTGCATCTGAACTGTTACTTCAAAATTTTCTGAAAGATATGTCATGTTCAATTAGCTCTAATTCTTTTTTTTAATTTAAAATACTTCAAAACTGGCTGTTCATGATATTTCAGGGCCCATTTAATGTATTAATTATTTGAGTCAGAGGTGAAGTTAAAATGTCAACACAATTCAAGTTTCATTTAAAACATTTCAATTAGATATTAGTACAACATCACTGTAGAAGACCCATTTTAAAGCCAGTGAGGCACTAATAAAGTAACAGAAATCACCATTATAATAGTTCTAGAGYAGATAGAGACAAAAAACTGAAGACAAATAAGTCATGCTACTGGAAAAGGAAACGTTATGTTTCTCATTAGTGATGAGAAAAAAGCCATTTCGTCCTCTTCCTGACCAACACCTCACCTTCCTGGTTTGCAAACCAAACTTTGCACATAGCAAGGTGCCAGTGGTGATGGAGAGGCTCTTCAGTTCCAGAATCATGCTTCCTCAGGAAAGGCAACTTTTGGGACCTGCTGTCTTCTGCACATGAAACAGACCTTAATATTAGTTGCACTTTAAATAAAACTGGCTTAATAAATAGACAGTCAAGGCTGAAGAAATTAGGGATGGTATTTGGAGGCAGCTGCTRAGAGCCAAGAATCCTTCACTTCCCAGCTTCTTCCCAACCTCACCAGGTCCGCAGGAATTTTCTGGTGTCTTGGTTTTGCTCGGTCCAGTTTTTTGGTGGTGGGGGAATGGGAAAGAAACCACAAAGATGGCTCCTGGGAGAAAATTCGGGAAGCTTTCTCCTTCTTCTGCACCAAAAGGAGCCCTGCCCCCTGTGTTTTAGAACCAATCCAGTGTGGCTCTGAGGTTGATGGACAGGCTGCTGGTCAGGCCTGGGCCAATTGCACATGCTAGTTACACCTCTGTGATGAGGTATGGTCTTGTACTTAAGAAGAATTCAAAAAAAGATAGAGAGCAGCCGCCATTAGTTTTTAGGTTGTTAGTATCATCCCCTGCACTTGGGGGCGGGACAGAGGAAGAGGGTGAGGAGATGTGAGAAAAAACAGAGACACAAGATCACAGTAAGGACGAGAAAAAAGAACGGTGTTTCTTGTTGTGGTGCTCAACCACGGGAAAAGACTGTTCTTGAAGGTGACTGTCTTCTGTGAGAGACTTGTGAAGAGCGAGAGATCCTGCATTGGCCTTGGATGTGCTGGACTAAATCTTATGATTTCCCCAGGGAGCAGGGGAAAGAGATGTCCCCCCCACATCCCCCCCCGTTTGAAGCAAATGGATGCTTAAAAGAAACTGTGTTCTGCCAGGAGATTTGAGAGAGTGGCCTTGCCCTCAGAATGAAGCAGCCGGCCTTGGAGGACTGTTTCCTTTCTTCCCACGAGGTAAAGAAAAAGAATCCCATGCCACCAGSAGTTATACACTGACTGTTTCTTGGGAAAAGAACTTCCACATCTTGGAGCTGTAAGAACTCTTCTCCTATGGTGCTGGACGATTTCCATTATGAGTAGTTWGATCTATGTTAGATTTTCATTCCTGCCCCCCTTGCACATGGGAAGGCACATGGAGGGGTGGGGAGGGGCGACCTGGGAGAGAGGGGTTCGCAGAAGAATAACAGGTGTCTTAAAATGCCTGGTTTTTTTTTTCTTCTCCTTGTAAATTTTTCCCTGTCTTTGTTCCCTCGCCGGTGCCATAGTGTTCTTAGTAATCCTTAGTAATAAATCTAATTTGCAACTTAAGTTATTCAGCCTGTCTGACCATTTCTAGGATATATATATACATATATATATGTATATATCTTTCTCACAATTATGTTACCTTATCTAAAAGCCATAAATTTTGGTGTTTGCTCTCCCCTCTGCCTCTCTGGTGGTGGGGAGGGGAACATCATGGGTGCTTTGGCTTACAGCCAAGGTCTAAACCACGACACCTGGCTATCCTTGGCAAGCAAGGCAGGCCCCTGGCTCCAGTCCTACCACCATCACCACCCATGGTCCCCTGAGCTGAGAGACACTGCACTGCCCCGGCCTTCCACTTGCCTATGGATGCAAACACAAATCCCCTCCTGGGATATGCTGGGACTTCCCTCAASCCTTGGCTCTGGTGAATGGCCCACCTATCTAAGCTCCTGCCTGGCTGCATCAGAAGAAGCAGTTAGGGAAAAACATTTTGAAATCCACTTTTTCTGCGGAGGAAGGGCTTGACTGAGTTTATCACCTGTGATGGGGTACTGGAGATTTCATCTGTTTAGTTCCCACCACCCAGTGACAAAGGTTTTCATGGGTCAACACTGTACAGCAGAACAGGAAAATGGGGCATGGTGAAAAGAATATTTTTTTTTTCTAGCTATTGCCAGAGAATGTTGGGCAGATTCAAATAGGAGGTTCACAATATTATGGTAATATGTGGCGGCAAGCAGAAGGTGGAAATGCTTTATGTTGGAATTGCAGAAGARGTGTCTTTGGAGGTTATGACTCAACAAGAAAGTCCTTCCAAATTTCAAATTAATCACTCAGCTGTAGGTATGACAAAGCCCTCAGATCCCAGATGATGTCTGTGCATTCTCTGAAGAATCAAGAACAAATGCGGACTGAAATGAAGCCCACTTCTCCAATGTTGTCTCTTGAATTCACTCAAATGTTAATGAGACTGTTAATGAGTTCACAGTGTTTGGGGTTTTATACATCTGCTTCTTTTCTCAGGTATTAAGACAAAAAAACCTAAATCAGTCCAATATTTACTGATACTCATGCATTACCAGTCATCAAGGAAATAGGTCTATTCAGTTTTAGTTCCCTGAAGAGCCAAACACAAGCAATTGTGTAGAAGCAGCACATGTAGCAGTGAACCTGTCTCAGGAGAAATCATGGGAAGTGTTTTGGTAAGATGTATGTAAGTCTCTTGAAAAGACGTTTCAAAAGAAAAATGCATATTCCAAATAGTCTCATTATTCTCTTGACAAACAGTTTCTGAAGCCTTTATCAGCAGGCAACTAAAGTAAAACCAAACATCCTCAGTCCCATGAAAAAATCCAGAGGAAAGGCTTAAAAAATTTATTTTTGTTAACTTATTAGCTAAGGCTGTAACTTCACATAATTAAATATATCACATGATTTACACAGTGGAAGAAATTATTTATTTAAGCCCCGTGAAACCACGGGGTTYAAAAATTTATACCTTAAGGAGACAAATCGTGTAGAAAGTATGAAACTTGATAAGACAAAATCCAAATAAAAAAGCCCAGAGTTCACATCAGGAAAGCAGAACTTTTCCCTTGTTTCCCTTTTTTTGGCTCTCACATCAGCTTCTCCCAAAAGCTACCAAATACATCTTTCATTTTAGCTCTTTTTTGCCAGAGTCTTACCATACAACAGAACAAATTGGAAAACTGCTGCATATGTTCACGAGCCAATCTAGAAATCAAGATTCATTTTTTCAGGTTTAGATAGAATCTTGCAGAGAAACTTTTAACTTCCACACTTTAGAAAAATATAATTTTTCTTTCCTGGGATGTAGCTTTAATATGAATGTCCCAAAAGAAATATATTTTTATATAGCATAATTATGTTTTTTCATAGTACCTGCTTTCCAATTCCTTGCACATATTTTCTGCAGTGCTACCTGCTCTGCTTGCTGGGTGATAGCTTTGTGATGGCATTGGTGAAGTAGATAAGGGGAGGAGAGAGAAATGAGTCTCTACAATTTACAGGTTTTAAAAATGATTGGTTATGTTTCTCTTATCATACGTTTTATGTATGGGGCTTCTTTTGGAAACAACTATCTGAGTCACTGGAATGAAATTTCAGCATGAATCCTCTGTGATTTATATTTCTTTTTTTAGCCCACTGTATGGAATAATGCAGATTGTTTTCACTTTGAATAGTTATTTAGAACCATAGAGTCATAGAATTGTTCAGGTTGAAAAAGACCCTTAGGATCATGAAATTCAACCATTAGCCCAGCACTGCCATGTCCACCATTAAACCACACACCGAGCGCCACATCTTCCTATCTTATAAATACTTCCATTGATTGGGACTCCACCACTTCTCTGGAAAGTCTGTTTCAATATTGGACAACTCTTTTCATAAAGAAATTTTTCTAATATCCAGTTMAAGTTCCCCTGGTGGAAACTGAGGCCATTTTCTCTCATTCTAGTGCTTGTTACAGAGAAGAAGCTGACTCCCACTTGGGTACAACCTTCTTTCAGGTAGTTGAAGAGAGTCATATGGTGTCCCATGAGCTTCCTTTCTTCAGGCTAAGCAAACCTTTCTATTTCTATACTTAGAAGTTGGATTTTATGTTTTTTTACTATGACTCTTATTCTCTCAAGTATTCATAACAAATGTATATATTTTTGATTTACCACTAACAATTAAGACAAAAACCTCTTCTTAAACTCTTATTAGAGAAAATCTACCCCTCCATTACTCTGTTTTGAATGTAATTCTTGTAGATTTGTTGTATCAGCAATTGTTCCCWTTCTCCTGGATGTTGTTTCTACACTTGCTGCCTTTGGGCAATGATATCACAGTCTTCTTTTGCTGAGGAACAAACTTACAACACCTCTCCACATCAGCCTGCACCAGGATGCAGCAAAGTCATGCAAAACTTACCAACACAGCTCAGCTCAGTCTTTTTTGTGAGCCTGTAGATAGATATAAAAAGTAATGGGACCATTGAAAGACATTCCTCATAAGCATAGAGACAAAAGGATTGCCTGTTAGAGTTACTGTGCAAAAGGATAGCAACAATAGCTCTGAGTATTTGTGGCCTGCAGAATGGTAATTGTTTTACAGGAGTCATCTTGCTATCACTTTTTCTTCCTGTGCTAAGTTATTCAAGATAAATTTTGGTCTTGTCCAGATCATATTTTAATTAGTCCTGAGCAGATGGATAAGAACTAGAGTTTTGTCTCTGAAAAACCTTGAGAGCTCCCTGACATCTGGTGGAGGATAATGATTAAGACTCATGAGCTTCTTGAAATGCTTTCTCACATAGGTCTGAGTCATACTTTTCAGCCCAAGAAGAGAGCTTGCTTGGTAAATAGAATCTGAAGAATAAGCAAAAGAAGTTGTGTGACTATTTTCTCCTAACTTCGAGCATTGGTAACTTCCAGCACTAGCACTATCATTTGCAGGCATCTGGGAGCCAGGCTCTTTGAAGCAGGAGGGAAGGGCCCCCAGRCTGCTCCAGTGTGGAGCTGTTTTCGTCAAAGATAGACTCCTGCACAGGCAGGAGGGAGTGGTGATGATTTGGAAATATTTCTGCTAGTATTTCATTAAAAGTATGGATTAATTGGAATTAATTGGATTAATTGGATTAATAAATGGAAGTATGTCTCCAAAGTGCTCAAAAGAGTAAGATCATCTCTTTAAGATTTTTCTAAGGAAAATTAATGGCATACTGAAACAGGGTAGCAAATTCATAAAACCTTGTGACCAACTGACAAGCTGGTGGTATCAATAACAGAGCTCTTTGATCACACACAAAGAAAGAAAGTCTGTATTTGAGAACATAAAAAAGACATGTGAAAGGGCTGGCATGACAACAGATGCAGACGTGTGACTAGTGTGCAGCTCAGAGATATAATTCTGCTGTATATAAAAAAATCATTTTTGAGACATTCATATTATAGTCACAGCTACATGRCAAAAATACAGCACATTTTTGTAAGTATTTTTTAATGAATGGATTGAAAGCTACTCTGTGAATTCCTGTTTAAGGCTGAAGAAAGGTGGTGAGGCAAGAATCAAAACTAAAGATTAACTGAACTAAGTTAATAAGGTATGAATAAGCACAGAGGCATTTTGAGTTCTGTTTTCCAGTATTTTGCTAATATGTATATTAAATGTATATTCACACTATTTAAAGCAAACTTGGGAGACTCTCATAAAATAATAGAATAATTAATGCTGGAAAAGACCTCCAAGATCATCCAGTCCAACCACCTTGCTGTATGTGATCCTCAGACTGTGCAGGAGGAAAGAGGTGAGGGCAAGAATCAAAACACTTGCACAGACTGATGGACATTGAAGTAATATGATAAATGCTGTATAACATGCTTTGACCCTATAGCCAACTCTACTCTGGGCAGGAGCTTGCTCTAAGGACCTCTAAAAGTCCCTTAGGACTTGAATTGTCCTTCAAGCCCATAATCAGACACAGACTATTGTTGCTCAAAAATGGAGATCACTACCTTTTTCTGAAATCAGTCACCACAATTGACTTCATTCAATTCACAAAATTCACATTATTTATAATTTTGATCTCTATATTTAGTGCRCAACTACATTTCTGAATAAGAGGGATGACTCCAGAGATGGGTGTCTCAAAAAAAATCTTTTAAATGTTAGAGTTGGAGTCAGATTTGCATTCAAATATTGCATAGCCCATTGGTACCTGTCATGGGTTGACAGAAAAGTTTTACCACATGATAGAGCTTTAGGCATGTCACTGCTTTTTAAGGATTATTTTAAGAAAGGAAGACACCTACATCTGGAACCCTCTTTGTACAATACCCTAATTTAACTTGCAATTAAAGTATGCAGCTGGGGATTTAACTGGAGTCATTATAAGCTGCAGTGGTGGCCTACCTGTCACCCACAGCCTTGAATTCACTTGTGATGAGAAAAAAGTCTCCCCTGCTGATCTTTGATTCAAATAGACACAACACAAATCACTTCCTTTGGTCTTCCTAAAAGAAGGCAGTTCCCAGCCTGAGCARCTGGGGYTGGCTTTAAGCCCAAAAAAGGCTGAATGGATGGATTCAGGGACAGAGTCATGAAATGACTAATCGAAACAGCAGTGCCTAACCCTCTCAATAGTCACATGCTGTGCTGACATTTTCAGGCAGGTCAGCTCCAGGTGGCCCACTTACTCAGTGGCATTCAAATCAAATCTTACAATGTAGCCCTATTAGGTCCAATCATTAATACCCATTTTTGCCAATGCTAAAACACTTAGACGAGACTCCAGGTGACTGGAAACTCTTGAGACGAGAACCAGTAATGAATGTATAACCTGCTGAGTAATGAGGCCATTTCTAGGTAGAGATGAATGTTTACTCGGGAGCAATCTTATGGTTCATTTCACCTGAAAACCTTCCCAGAAAAATGTAAATGCTGCTTAATGGATTCCAAGGGGAAACATCACCTAAAGAACCCTCCAAGCCTCTACATTTTAAAAATTTATATTTCAAAGGATTCCATAGACCAGCTTCTGAGGAAAGAGATATTTACTTGATCAGATTTTCCAGGACAAAGCATTTTATTAGCGAAGTTACTTTTTGGCTATAGGGAAGAACATGTAACTTGTGGGACCTTACCATGACCCATTATCATGGTGGCTGAAAATTGAGTTACAGGCACTGATAACATCTGCATGGAGCACTGAACATTAAAGATTTGCAACTTCTTATAGCAAAGATGGAATTCAAGTTGCCCTGCATTTTCATTATGAAAGAAAACCAGTCTGGAGCTGAAATCTGACATAACGGAGACAAATGTTTTCAGTAAACTTTGTACATACAGAACTGCTTGCACTGGCTTGTGTGGGCTTGTACAATGTGTGCAATGGCTTCTACACATTATGAGTGTAGAGCAGGCCTTGTCTCAGCTAGAAACACTTTCACCCAGCACCAATACATTCTACATATTGTTGTGTCGGGGTTTTGCCAATCTTCTGCCTCTGAGGGGCATTTCAGGGGAACTGTTCCTTCTCATTTCTTGTGACCTGGAAGATCTTTGCTATGGATCATACAAATAAGAACTTCCTTTTCCCTCCAAATCCTGCCCCAGCCTTCTCCTTTCCTCTTTCAATCAGTGATTGACAGATTTACTGGATATGACAGAGAATATGAGCCTGACTATCAAATAACTCACCTTGCTGTGACCCCATTAGAACTGCTGCAGTTTCACTTGTGCTCACAGGCCAGGGGCTGAGGCTCACCCAGAAGGGTGAAGTAAGCTCACATCGCCCTGGAAAACCATGCTATCAGCAGCATGTGCTTCTAGTGCAGTCTACCAGCACCATAACAGGATCAAAAGTTTTTCTGAACAGACAAGAACAAGTATATTTTCAACCCCTTTAGTCAGGTATTTATGAGATAYCTTAAGAATTACTATATACTTACATGCTGAAGAAGTTTCTAGTTTATTTACAGGACAACTCTGAATGTCAATCCTTTGCGAGTATCACCMCCTTTACATACCCATTCTGCATAGAGATAAAGAAATAAGATCCATATATGTAACTTCATACTTCATCTGCTGTTTTGAAGAGAAGTATGCAAAACTTTTCACAATGTACTTAAACTAGTAGGCAAAGGCAGAAGACAGACACACAGTCTGTCACATGTCTTCAATGCTTTAGTATGGGCTTTCYAATCTGGTTAGGGGAGCAACTGAAGGGATATTGCAGCTGTTCCTAGTGTGTGCTGGATGCTTTATAAGATCTGCTGCTGAAGCTTTATCTGTGCTGTACAGCATGTCTTGCATTAGCGATTTATACAGGGTTGCTAGCAAGCAGATTTATTTACAAAGCACAGTGCTAGTCCTGGTGGTGTCTGTTACCAGTTCTAGGAGTGGTTCAGCTGTGGTACTGTGATATCTGCCCAAGTTAAATTAAAATGCTGTGCATGGACCAGATCCAAGTGCATTAAAGGCAGCGGCAAGAGCTAGCTCTACCTCTACCTTAAATCTGTCACTAAGGGTTTTGAATTTCAGCTAAAGGTAATTTATTGGTTTTTCTTGAGTGAAGACCTGGAATGCATGCATACAAAAATATGTTAATTATTTTAAGCAAGTTAGTCCCTGGTTTGTTTTGAGGTTAAAAATCTAGGGAGAACTGCAGCTCTTTATATAAAAGCCAGGGTTAGTCTCAGACGATAGATGAAGAAGAGGCACAGATACTTCCCAAATCCAAACACACAACCAAGCTGTACTCAGGTCTCAGTTGCAATTGTTCATAGCCACTAGATCCTGCACATCAYCCTAACAATAAGATTTTTTTCCCCTTTGATCTGAAAAGCTGTAAGTATGTTCCTCAGAGTAAAGGTGATTAGTTTATACTGGCAAAGTAGTAATAAAATTCTCTCCTTATATAAAATTTCTCCTTATTATGCAAAGGAAAATTTGGATGTATGCACCAGAATTATCATGCTGGGGTAGACTACCAATCCAGAAGTTATTTGAACAGAGGCATGACAGTGAGTAGCATTACACTTTTGTACTACAGTATTCCTGACAAGAGTAGCTGGCTTCTGAGCATCATTGTGGGCATGAAGAGCAACTTGTAGAAGTGTTTGTGCTTCATCTGCAGTGAAAAAGAGGACTGCTGAATGACCTGGTATAGGCAACACTAGCAGCAAGGAAAAAGAGAGAAAGAAAGAAAGAAGCTAGTAGCCTCATATACAATTCAGGCCTTCATTCAGTTTTGCTRCTATTTCAAAGCTGGTTTGTCATTACTAATTCAGTAGCTGGATCAGGTATCAAAAACTGCAGTAACAGTGAGAAGTTTGGGTTTCTGTTGATCTCACTTGTAGCCAGACTCACACTCTTCAAAAACTGTGCAAGCAAACTGGTACTCTGCAGTGAGAACAAGAAGTCCAAATGGTGAGTTTTGGTGTGGTCAGTAACAAGAGGCAAGTGCCATGCTCTGCAGCTCATGRGGATCTAGACAGAAATATTATGTGGACTTATGTATTTGCACATGTAAATCTCAACAGAAATTTAAGGGAATAATACAATAGCAAAAAAAAACAGTATAGGTTATTCAATATCAAGATAATTCTAGCAAAGGAATTTAGCATATCTCTATTGGCAAAGAGAGAAAAGTAGCCATTACCACCTGGGAACAACATCCTCCTACATGTTCCTTTTCACACTCACCTTGAGATGCCAATTAAAGAGAAGAGCCTGGCAACCCAAAGGTTTCAAAGTAGCTGATTTTCAAGAAGTATCTCCATGCAGGAAGAAACCATTGTAATAGCTTCTGGGGAAGACAAAAAGCARTAAGAATTGAGAACTACTCTGCGATCATGATCTTGGCTGACTATTCACTGCTAGCCTTCCTGTTTTCAAAACACAGATGCATTCCTGCTTACTTGCTACASTTTTCTAACACACAGCAAGAAAAGATTTTTCTCAGAGCTCTGCTCRTATTTAAAAAAACACCGATTTTTGTGATTTATTGATATTCCGGAAGCGAACTAAGCAGAGTTGTAAGAAAAGAAAGACACACAAGTTTCACATGCAGAACACCCTAAAACACCTGCTACACCTCCCTATTCTGGCTCTTCAGCAGTGGTTTTGGAGGTGAGCTGAAYCTCAGCTACTGACCAAAATACAGCATGTCAGTTTGAGAGCTTATTTATACTCATATCCTAAAAGTAGTTCAAAGCCATGGTKTGTGACTTCTTTGCAGTAAATATTACTTTATGGCTGGATAGAATATATTAGGAAAATGATATCAATATTTCTGATGAGGATTATGTGGGGGAATAAGGTATATCCCTTTAAATAGAGTCACTCAAAGAAACCTGCATTTTTCATGATCAAAGCTCTAAACTCTCTTCAATTCACACATGTGTGTGTGACATGAAAATACAAATTAAATACAGAATATTGCAAATTCTGACAGTATATTTGCAAATACCTTTTTAAAGTTTATACTGACAGACCTGTTTAGCATGGTAAACTGAAAATACTACAGCCTGAACATTCTCTTCAAATGGGACAAATGGGCCCCCTGAAAGAGAAACCACAGGAAAATCATAGGGGTATAATTGGGAACAGGATATCATGATGAACATTGCTTATCTGACACAACTTTTGTTCTGTTCCAAAGGGATGGAAGCTGTTCTGGATGTGAGGAATGAATCAGACTGAAGAGGCTGCCGAGAATAAAAAAAGAGCTAAAACTCCACAATCCCAAMCGTTACTTTATCACAGAATAGAAAAGATGGTAATTTTTGCAGTAGAAAAATACACTAGATAAAAATCAGATGTATTGCCTGTGTCAACACAAAGAAATGTAAAAATTAAAAACATGGCTTTATATCAAAAACACAGCCTGAACATTGAATTGCACTTGGTTTTAATTTCATTATCGAAAACTTAATTTAAAAATTTGATCTTTTTTAATTTTAGCTAGATTAGATCCATTTKGTTTCAATTCAGATAATAAAGCTATTGAGATCATTTTAACTCACCAGGCTTCTGGTGGAATGTCAGGTAATTCACATGGCRTATGTATTAAAACAGGTCACACATGATTTGTTCTTAATTAGAGCCTCAACATTTAGTGTTGCAATATGAATAGTTACATGCATCTGTCCATGGCTATAAATGACTACAGCAGTTTTGGAATCACTACTCCAGCTATATTTTAATGGATAATGCACCTGTAGAAATTCCCATGAATTATGAGTCAGGTGAAAAAATCTGCTAGTTTAATTAAACCAGTGATGAGTTTGCTTCATTTGCTTCCTATTTTCCCTCACAGAACTATCTATCTCTTTCACTTTACTTTTTTTTCCCCCAGTGACCCAGATGGAGAAGTACTGACTGCATTTGCAAGGAAAATTGCTTTAGAGAGCTTTTTAATTATTCATTTAAGTGTTTCAAGTTCACACCAGCACATCATTCAGTATTTCTGTGTTCCTTTTGATTTTTTACTAAAACAGAACTTAAAAATTAGGTAACCTGTAGCATGATGAGAGGAAGTGGGATTACTGCAACTTTCACAAGTATGAGTAGTAAGTAATATTACTGGTATTATAGTATTATTAGTAGCAATTACTAATATTCACACATTGCTGATCAAACAAGTGTAAAAGCCACATGTTCTTATTGTGTGATCAGCCATGGGGAGGTAGACACACTTTCCGCCCCATCACATGATAAAAAAAAAACCCACACAGGCAGTTTTCTTGGTTTTAGACATCTGCTTTTGTACTGACCTGTGTGACTGTTTCTCTGTCATCTTTGATTGMTGGGGCATGCTACAGGCAGAGGAAGGCCCTGCAAGCAGTGCACAGGCAAACCACACACTTCTATGTTGTTGCCTGGCCCCTGTTAGCTGAGGTGAAGAGCAGGAGGAAGGTCAGCAGGGCTGGTGCAGAAATTTAGATGGGGATTTCAAGGGGACTTGCATAYAGGTAATTGGAAAGAGCAGAGTGGGAAGGCATGCTCCTTCGGTGCAAGCACATGACAGGCATTGGGCAGCACAACACTACACCCCAAGAGAAGAAAGAACTCTCTCTCCTGCTGCTGCACTGACAAGGGGCATGCCTGACACAAGCTAACAGGGCCATCATGACTGTCATGCCAGTGCGATCCTTCTGGGATGGGGATTGCAGAGAGGGTTAGCTGCAACTGTTTTGGCATCATKAGCATCAGATGTTGATCTTTCTGGGTTCTTCAGCCTTAACCCCAGACACTGAACTCTGCTCTCTTCAGAGACCAGCCTTCATTTACTACTTTGACTCTTACCTGCATTAACCTATTTTTACCTTTGCAACTCAGCAAAGTTGTCAGACTTTATTTGCAACAACGAAGCAAAGATGCCAGATGTTTGGAAGCTTTATGCCTCTGAAAAAATACTGTTGAATAGTCTTTATAAAACATGGAAGCCAAGTTAGCATCAAAGCCAAAGACTTTAGGTTGATGCTGTCCCTGTGACCTGTCCCTGCTGGCAGGTGGATGGTGACTCACATACCCTGAACGTGCATGTGCTGTTTGAGACAARCTGCTCAGAGGGTAATGATAAAATGCAGGCAATGTTATCTCTTCTACAGCAAGAAAGGCACATCCATATTTATTCCTTTGCATCAATTCTTCAAAGCAAGTTCAGGAAACAACACTGCAACTCTGAAGCAACTCGGGCATCTGTGTTAAGGTGTCTGTTCGCCCTACAGCTCTAAGGCTACAGGTATCTCCCAGCAGCAGAGATTCCTAAGGAGAAGGATAGAAAGAAGCTGCCCCTTAGAAGCAGGTAATTCACTCTCTCTAGGATGCAAATTCCTACAGACACAACAGGCAAGTCTTGCTCTTTTACTGTGCTGGCAGCCCTTAGATCAGATMATCTCAAGGAATAGCCAAAAGCCAATTTCAGTCTTCAGCAGCAGGAGGGAGGGAGGAAATTAGGTTAGCAATCCATTTTGCCTAGTTAGGCAATTTTCAATACTGTCTTTCAGGGCATTAAAAAAAAAAAAAAAAAAAAAGGAAAGAAAAACAAGAAACAAAGAAAAAACTCCACCAACAAAAACACAAAACTCATCAAACCCAATCCTTAAATGCCACCTAGTGGCAAAAGCTACTTTCTTTTGACATCCCTGGTTTATGGGAAAACACAAGTGAAGGGACYGCATCAAGTCATGGTTAGACCTATTTGGATTTTCTGAGTTCACATTCTTACCCTTGAAGGTCTCAAGGTCAGAAGTTCTAGGAATATTGCAAATATGTCCACAGGGCTCAAGCTCCTGCAGTGTTCTGTGCTGTGATGTCTCACTTTCAAATACCTCAACATGGGAGCAGAATCCCTAGCTACAAGTTGGGGAGTCTTGTCCTTGCAGCAGGACAATGGGTAGGTCTATTAGATGCAGTTGGTGTCAGTGTGAACCCAGAAGCCTTGAGATGCTGTGAAGAGAGACAGCTACCCACAGTGCAGGCAAACTGTTTAAAGTCTTATTTATACTCATATCCTAAAAGTAGTTCAAAGTTCCTGCAGCAGGATTGTAGCAAGTAGTTCACCAATTCTATTTGCAATTTCTATGCTGTCTCAAAACAAGCTGTCAACACTGGCTGAAAAGGTCCAGCTAAAATTACTGACCTCTTGCTGGTATCCAGTCTTTCACAAGCACTTCCTGGTCCTGCTTGACAAAATCCCTGTGCCACAATGTCCTCAGTACCTATCAGAAGAGAGGTTACTGACCAGTTGTATTCAGTTTGGATACATTGTTCTGGGGCAGCTTTTCTGCAGAAATACTCCTCATGTGTCTGACAGGATTGCTGCTGGGACCCCTGATCAGCTCCAGACCAGAGCAAAAGTGAGCCAGTGATCTGCCCAAAMTCTGAGGAACTGAATGAAGTTCTCTGGCATGACACCGGCATTCTGCTCTGCCATACTTTTAACTCCATGTTACAAAAAAGGACCTTCCATCCATAYACGTGCAATTTCCTTCTTCAAAGCAGCATCATGGTAAGAGGTAGATGATGTAACTCCGGTGGATATACTAAAGAACTTGTTCTCTAAGAAGTGCCACTCTAAACAATGCTCCCATGTTAAGAAAGCTTAGGACCACACCAGAGAGGCTATATAAAATTTGCAATCATGTATTTTTCAAGCAACGTACATCCATATGAAAAGGARGGTGGTGATAGGGAACAAAATCTCTGGATTCCCTGCTGAAAAGATCTACAKCTGGATCTACTTAAACTGATTTTCTCTTTCATTTCCCTGTAGCTGACTTCTCTTTAAGATACATGCATAGGTTATGATGTGTGCAGTACTGCGACTATCACTTAAAAGAGGTTATTAGGGCATTGAACCTGRCATTTGTCATTGCCTTATCAAATGTAATAATGCTGAGAAAAGAACCCTTAAGTTCCAGGAAGATTTYTGAGGATTTTCCTGTGAAAATCCATAGATCAAGATATGCTATCACCTCCTGAATAACTTTTTTGAGAATCTCTATGTCATTGCAAGGCTAGAAACAAGTATCTGCCAAGCCCATAATCACCACTTCCTGAGAAACTCTAAACCAGAGAAGAGCAGCCAGAGATTTACCTCTGAAGTGCAGTGGGCTGGTACACACATGGAGAATGAGAAGACAAGACACAAGGAAATCACAAGGAATTTCTAATCACTATGTTTAAGCTCATTTTTACAACAGAGGACACACACATAATCATATTCATAGCAGCCTTTACTATCTCAGAGGTTGGACAATGCCTTGAAGAGTATGATGGCCAAGATGTGTTCWAACACTCCTCCACCCGTTTGCACTGCCCTTCAGAAGGAGAAACCTGCAAAAAGCCATGCATGAGGACCACATCCTCCATTGGAATAGCGGAATAAAGGAACAGAGARAGCAATCCTGGACCCATGCGAGCTGGGCTGGCACATGTCCCTGCAGCTCTTTGTTGTTCCTGCACAGCACCAGTACAGCGAAAGAACAGGCAGTAACACAGCTGAGTCCTAACTGTTCCTACACCTCCAGGCCCCCACTGACAGCATTGGGCTCCTGAATTTTCTCGTGCAGGCAGCATGCRCCATGGCATTTTCTTTCATCCAGGTTTGGGCTTGTGACAGCTGTTTGGTGAGAACTCTTCTGGAGATAATGCCCTTGGCCAGTCTGTGTTTGAGCAGCCTTGCTGTCCCTTCTTCCTGCAAGCCATTTCATCCTTTTTTCCACAATCCTCTGGTGGCAAATGCCCMTGTGACTGAAGTCTGCACCACCTTTTCATACAGAAGGTGCAGGAGCTGGGCATCTGTTTTCTGTCTAGGTGCATTGGGATGCCACCTTTACTTCGCAGTGTAACTATCCCATCTCAGAGGATAAAGGAGTTGGACAGGGTGGYTGCAACAGCAGTTCATCAGCCCATGTCAAAGGCACACCAAGAACATAGGCAGAAAAGTGGCATATTTAGAGGCATTGACAGATCCATGGCAATCTCTCCACTCTCTCCATTTTCATCTGCTGCAAATCTTTACGAACAGGCACTGTCTGAAGTGCTCGCATAATTTTTCGTCTCTTCACTGCTTAAGCATCCGTTATTTTTACAATAGAATATTTAAMTTGAGATCAAAGGCCTGAGATTAAGCCAATCTTTTAAAAATAAGATAGTGCTATTCCTTAAACTTGATGCAATTTAATACAGGGCAGTGAATAAAATCTTTGCCCTTTCAAAAAGTATCTCACTCCACCTCAGGTACTTTTTTACTTATACACACTAAATGAAACCATCCCGATACCAGCAAAAGCATTATCCAAAATAAAACACTTTTTGACAGAGACAGTACACTAATTCTCAACTGATGAGATATACCTTTCAAATGAGAAATTATAGAGAAGCAAAACTGAGGTCTGAAACAGTGTTAATTATTTTAGTGTATCTTAGGACCTCCAGTCCACACTAGAGCTTTACTCCCTCTTACAAATGCTTTAAAGAAGATAAAATATATGTATTTTTTCCCATTTCCTTTGATATGAATAGATGTAGATTCGCTTCTTGCCTACTCATGTAGGCCATCTTACAGAGATCAGGCATTTGATTCTGGGAGTTTCCAGTCAGAACAGTACTTAATGAGCAGTGCATSACTGCATGTCTTTGCAGTGAACAGCAGCATTCTTGCTAAATTRGCAATACCAGGTACTGTGGTTTTCAGACTCAGGTGTCTTTGGACTATTTTTTAAAAGTTAAATATATTAAAAATATATGCACACAAACAAAATAAATAAATTACTTCAACTAATCTGGTGAAACCCAAAGTTTAAAGGTGGTGCTTAATTCGGGACACATCTAAAAGCAGATGTAGATATCCATGCATTCAATACATTCGTGATTGTTAGCTCTACAAGCTATGACCTAAGTACAATGTACTTCTCATTTCTGGAGCAAGACACAAAAGCGACAGAATGTATCACACAGTTTATTAACACCTGAGAAGCACTGTGGTCTTCAGAGACAAAGCACACTTCAAAAAGGAAGCCTGTGAGGTTAAGGTTGGAAAATTATGATGTTGAGATGGCACTTAGGGGGAAAACCCAAGAACCTTCTGCAGCTGCTTCCAGAAATCCCAGAAATARAGTACAGAGGGCTGCAGCTCTCAGCACTGACTTTGAATGCTGTTTAAATGGCTCCAGCTGCCAAAACCCTTTAACCATAGCCACTTGCAGTCAGGACATGGTGCGGTTTGCCACAGTGTTGACTGACAAGTCAAGAAGCTCCCCCCCTCCCCACTCCAAAACAAACAAACAAACAAAAAACCAAAAAAACCACCTCCAAACAATAACGTGCCGTACTTTCTACTTTGGTGTACAAGTACACGCTATAATTACTTCTCACTCTGTTATATATAGCAACAGGAACCCTGATGCCTACCAACAGCAGCAAACTGACTGGTACAACCGAGCGGAGGTGTGGGGGGAGGTCGGTATCAGACTTGGAGCACGCCCGGCCCCGAGGCCGCCCGCCTTTGGGAACTGCTGCTCACCCTTCATGTCCGCGCCGGTGCGGTTTTACCCCGGTTTTATCCGCACCGCCGGCCCCGCTCCCGCTCCCGCTCCCGCTCTGGGCCTGTCCGCGCGCTCCGCCCCTTCCGCCGCTCTTGCCCTGCCGCACGCGCACAACCGCGCGCGCCGCTTCCGCCTCCTTTTCCGGGCCGCGCGCCGCGCTCCCGCCCCGCGGGACGGAGTCTCG